TTTTCACACACCTCTCTCTCTCTCTCTCTCTCTCTCTCTCTCTCTCTCTCTCTCTCTCTCTCTCTCTCTCTGTTAATTTTGTTCCTCTGGTTTGAAAGGGTTAAAACAAAAGCGGTATGAAAAAGATTAAGCTGTATTACAAGTGATTGGGAAGCGATGGGAGGGACCCGCGAGGGGCCCCTGAGAGGCTATGGTAATCATGGTGCTCCATGGAGCCTTCCTCGAGCCCTCCTTCTCTCCAGAGGACAATCCCAGCAGGCAATGGACTTTTTTCCTTTTTCTTTTTTTTTTTCTTTTTTGAGTTTCCAACCGCCCTGTGGCTAGTGGTGCACTTTACGAGCGAGCAAGCGGTAGGAGGACCACAGTGATTGTAGTTTGGTTTGTCTTCACTAGAAGAGCAACTGCTTTGAAGTTTCCACTCCAGCCTATAGCTCCCTCCACTGTGCTTTTGCAATGTAATATCATTAGGTAACGTAGTTACCTTTTCTTTTCGAGGCACACATATACAAACACAGACTGCTTTTTAAAAGTCCAGCTCGTAATTTCTTTATGAAAACCGTTAAATGTAAGCTGAATACATCTATTGCCTATGTTTGGTTACAGAGTAAGACACCCACTTCATGAACGGTAGCTGAGACTTGCCGAAAAGGAAAAAGAAAATCTTTGCTCTAAAGCCACACTGTCTCATAGGGTACCCACTAGCCACATGTGGCAATTTACACTTAATTAAAATTAAATAAAATTAGAATCTAGCTATATTTCAATTGCTCAACTAGGCTAGCGGCTACTGCATGGGACAATATAGATTACAGAATGTTTCCATTATCACAGAAAGTTCTGTTGAGTAGCACTGCTCTAAAACAAAGAGCAGCTGGATACAGACGTCTGCATGCGTTCAGAGCTAGGTCTGGGAGACCGCAAAAGGGAGCAGAAAAAGGGAGATAGCTCTGGTAGCTGCTCGCCCTGCACTGCAGTTTGCAGTGAAGGAAGGCCAATCAGTAGATCCATTTATTCTATTCCCAAGGCTAATTGCTTAAACATGGCCTTGACTAGGTCAGGAGCCTAAGAAAGTGGATTTAGTAAGCTGCATTTTGATCGTGAAATGCACACAAGGCATACTTATAAAATGCAGAAATGTCCTCATATGCCGAAAAAGAGGGAAGTTCTTAGTCCTCCCACTGGCCAATGATCAGAACATTTAGATGCCGGGCACCCTGCTGCCCACCTGCCCACAACCTGCCAGTTAATCCTGGCCGATTATATCACCCCACTTACGGATGAAGCAACCGAAGGTGAGAGTTCCCCAGCTCGCCCTGGGCCACGTCACTCGCATGGGGATGAGTCCAGGTCAGGTCCTGCTTCTTCTGAGCCCTGGGCAAGATTTTAGTGAACAAGCCCCCCAGAAGGACAGAGCAAAAGGGAGATAGAAGTATGCTGCATGGATTTGCCGAGTATTTCTTTCCTCTTTGTGAACAGCAATCTATTCGTGCAGTATACACACATATAAATGTTTATATCCCCAACTCATGTGCTACACATAAAACTGGCAGTTGACATGGCAAAAGCTCAGGAATAACTTACAAAGGGAATATAGATTCTAGAATGTCCCTCTCAAACAGACTTGGCACATGCATTGGGGTGGAAGAGAGAATAGGCTCAACAAGGAGTATTATTAGTTAAAAAGAGGAAGGAAGGAAGGAAGGAAGGAAGGAAGGAAGGAAGGAAGGAAGGAAGGAAAGAAGGAAGGAAAGAGAGGAAAGAGAGGAAAGGAGGAAAGGAGGAAAGAAAGGAGAGAGAGAGAGAGAGAGAGAGAGAGAGAGAGAGAGAGAGAGAG